TATGGAAGAAGGTTATGTGTGTACCCAAGGATCTCTGAGGGCTCATTCGAGATCTCTCATTCATTATTTTCTCTTACATCTTTGTTGAGCCCAGGCCACTGTTAGGGCTGATAATATCCCTGACCTTACTCTCTGTTATATAAGAGTAGTATTTTTCTCCCCAAATGTATGTTCTGGGTGATATCTGGAAATCAGCACTGTAAGTTCAAATCTAGAGAAAATAAGGATTTATTTGTAGTATAAAAAACATTTTATTGCAACTGACTACTCATTATTAATTTATTAATTAGAGAAGATGAAAATTTAGTCATTTTTATCAAGTGTACCCTGTATGATTCATGCCCTGGTTGGTTATGGCTTCAACTACTTTTACATTTGTTATGTCACTTGACATTAATATAGTTTAACGAACCAAGAAATAAAATATTCAAAACAAAGAAATCCACAAGAGAAAGATTGTGACTCATGAAAGGGATACCCCTAACTTTCCTTGCTGGGCAAAATGAATCATTACTAGGTAATGACCTCAGGACAAACTTTTTCAAACAAAACATAATGTTTTCATTTTTTTCTTTGAATTTCACTCTTACCGATTTGTGGTTATAATGAAACACCCCTCATATTTATGTCAGAGTTAGTTTCTGAGACTGGAGCCATTTTGGCTCCAAAGCTATAAACCTCAGAGATGCCTGGCCAGATACACCAGGGAACTGCTGAGAATAAATGAGCCAATGAACTATGGTGTCTTTTCTAACACCAGTGGGGAAATAGTCAAGATTCCTCCCAATCTTCGGGAATTTCTTTCCTTTCTACCTTCCTGCCTTTGTCTTTTACCTTCATTTTTACCTTCCGTGTATCTCCTTTTCCCTTCATAGTATTATTTTCCCTTATATTAGTCTTTCCTAATGCCCTGCTTGCTTTCCACAGTTCCAGCTAACTAATATCCACCATGATCCTAAAACATTAAATGAAAAATTCAAGAAATAAACACTTCATAAGTTTTTGTAAGCTTATGAAAGCTTACTTGACTTATTTCCATAAGGATTTAGTTCTAGCATAGCTTTTAGGTCTTGACATACTCTCGCTTTTACAATCCTGCTCCTAGCCCTCCCCATTTATACTTTGCATCTGTAAGTGATCTCTCTCTTTCTTACTTTCAGACTGCCGGGTTCTGCTTATTATCCCATTCTGTACCACTCTTCGATCAGGCTGTCCTCTGGGGAGTCCCAACGAGGGCCTGTTCAACCTGCTTCAAGATGGGGGAAGGCATCTTCTCAGCTTTCTTTCTTTCCCTGATATGTGCTAGGTCAACCACATCTTCTAGGCCAAATGGTTCAGCTATTAATTCATTATAATACTTATTCATTCAAAAATATTTACTGAGCCCTATACATGATAATAAAGTTAAGGGTAACAGACATTTTCTATTTTATATGTTGCATTTTTTCTTTAGCTTTCTACTATAAATTCTACTGACTCTAAGAAAACAAATATTGTTATACATTTCTTCTAGCCATTGTTGGAATAACAATGCCAGACAATTAATTTTTGTGCAAAATTAAACCTAACATAGATTTAAAAATAAAGTATAATCCATATGGCACCAAACACTTATTCATCTTTTTTCATTCAAGTGCGATACCCTTCTAAACAAAAACTAGATGACTCACAGAATTCTTCATTTTCAGGTAAGACATTTTGGTTGTGCTTACAGTCTCAACCTTAAATAGATGCAGTAAGAATGTAGTATTAAGTATAGTTCTCCCACTTATTATTATGATTATTATCATGCATTTACCAAAATGGGAAAAACTACATGAAAGATAGTGAGGTCCATGAGTAATCTGCCTTATTTCAAAATGCACACATTCGCAGAAAAGTGAAGTTTTAAAAGTTGTGTGGGGTGAATGGATGAGAGATAGAGATCCTGGGTTAGTTAGAAGGAACAGCTTTCAATCTGACTCACAGTCATAGACAACACTCCACATCCCTTACTGTGTGCCTTTGTGACTTTAACCCTAAAGTTCTGAGGCAAGTTTTTCTAATTTTTATATTTTTATGTTAATGCTGACAATGTCATTAAATTGTTTACATATATAAGCACGATTAAGTTTTCATTTGATTTTCTTTTTTAGATAATATTTAACAATGAATGTTTTATTCATGAAGCAAAGTATAGATATAAATTATGAATATACTATTTTTAGTAAGATTCTCCTTAGCTAGAACAGTGCTGTAAACCAAGTAGACGGCATGAAATCATCTTGGCTCTAGCAAAATGAGTGTTTTAAAATATGTACCCTAAATGAGAAAACAGGGAAATTCTTTGAGTCTGGTGTTTGTACCTCAGTGCAAAACTGCCATGTTGCTTAGGACAGGGGTCTCCAACCTCTGGGCCTTGGACCATACTGGTCCGGGCCTGTTAGGAACCTGTCTGCACAGCAGGAGATGAGCTTGAATGTATGCTTTTGAATCATCCCAAACCATTTCTCCCTCCTTCCCTCGCCCCTACCCTCAGCCATGCACCATGGAAAAAATGTCTTCTAAGAAATGGGTTTCTGGTACCAAAAAGGTTGGGGACCACCGGCTTAGGACATTGAACAGAGAAGTGGCACCACATGAGAAGGCTAAAAATATAAGCAGTTTTCTAATTCTTCACTAAACTATATTGGTTTAAACCTAAAATGTGAGCTGTAGTATTTCTCTTAAGGAACTATTAAGAGTAAAGAATTAACATGAACCGAGTCTCTAGGATGTGCATCATTTCCTTTATTCCCTTATCATTTCAAGTTAGATATTAAAGTCCCCATTGCACTGGGAGGGAACCAGAGCTCCAAAAGGGTAAGTCAGCTATTTAGGATCATCATGGCAGAGACACACTATTCAAACTTAAGTCTATGAGACTCTAAGATCCATGCTCTTTCCCCCACTCTCCATTATTTTCCTTCCTCCTGCTTGTGTTTAGGTCTATGACATAAAATCACACTGTCCTCCATAGTTGTTGCGAACTGCTGCTCACTGGCAGAGCAGTTAGTTCACTGAGTGCTGGTTGCTGAGGACAGATCAGCCTCAGCTCTTGAGAAGTTTCCTGATATGCCAGCTCTGAGCGCAAGGAGCACAGGACTGGGAGAAGGAATCCTGGAGCACGCATAGGGACGGTGGGAGGGGATAGCAGAGACCCGCTGAGAACAGTGTCCTAAAGTGAGCGATGTCGAAGGCCAGTCCAAAAGTTTCAGCAGGGAGGTTAAGCAAAGAGGCAGATGAAGAAAGGATGGGGACAGGTAATGCCAAATAAGCAAGGGGACAGTGGTAAATGGTTACAGCAGGGAGGGTGAATGGGGGTTATCAGGAAGGCACACGTAGGGCTTTGTGGTAAGAGGAGAGGGTGGAGGGCAAGGCAGAGATGAGACAGGGAAGAAACTTTGCCCGAAGAACAAGGAAGAGTAAGTTGCAGTTTTTATCTTCATTAGAAAAAGTGGAAGTTAGTCTTCTGTGACAGGTTGTTACAACCCATTGTGTTGTGCTGAGATATTGGATTATCTCAACTGTTTGCCATTAGAAATGTGTAGATTCCCGGGGCCACTTCGTGGGCAATGCTTAACAACGTGCCAGAGCTTGTGGAGTTTGCTGTATGCAAGGGTGAGGTGAAAACAGCATGTGATGATAGCCACCTGCTCTCTCATCAATTAACCACAATCCTTCCTACTTAACAAAGTATATGCAGATGAAAAATAATTTTATAAAATAGAAATACCTCATCTCTTGAGGCCAATTCTATGTGATTCACAGATTTCCTGGAGGTAAGTTATAGTTTAAAGTAAAACATTCTTCACCAGGTTCTAACAGTCCTGTTGAAGTTGAATTTGTTGGAAACTTTGATAAACTTCCTTAGGTACTCCAAGGTCATCCTAGGTTCACAGCCCATTTTCTGGAGGTTTGCAAACCTTTCAGCAGTGCTGAATTGGATTTCAGTTGAATTGCATGCAAACTTGGGCCAAGTTTCAAGGGAACTTTGGGTGGTTCTTTCAGGTAGAAGCCAGGTGAAACTCTAAGGGTCCAAAGTGGGTTTTGCTTTGAGTTTCTTTTGGGTTCTGCTTGAACTTGACACTCAGAGTGAAACTCAGGAGAGCTGAACCTCTTGCAAACTCAGGCTCAAAGGGAGGTTTTTGGAAGCAAACTTGCATGTCGAAAATGCTGAGCTAACAATGCTCATTGGTGCTTCAGTTTGCCTTACCCAAACCTCTGAATAGAGTTTCATCTGGAAAAAGAAGCTTTCTCTCAGCGTGTGTAGAGTTAAGAAAAGCTTTGCAAGAGATCTTTGGTCTTGCTGACAGATAAAATGCAGTAGAATGCACAAATTGCCATTAGCTTCTGTGCCACCAACAGCACAGATTGCTGAGCACAGTCCCCAAAGCAGGCTCTGAAATGGACCAATCAAGTTCTTACATCACATCCCTGAATTGGGATTATAGGCATCTTGGATAGCTTATCTGGGCAATTCAAATTACAGCTGAATCTGTTGTCTGCACTACCTAGATAGTTGGTATTCTATAGATTTGATCATGGTGACATAAAAATGTGATCTTTTATCAGAATGAATAACTAGAAGGAGAAACCTTGTCCAGTTCCCCATTAAACATGTCCATAAAGATCAATGTATAACATCTTTTAAAAGTAAAGCCACAATAAACATATGTGATTAGCTCATCTGTATGTCTATTGTGGCTTTACCTTTCTGAAACATGCCTCTGACCTGAATAGGGGTTGGTGCCAGGGCAGAGGAGATTTAATTTATGTTTGGCAAACAAGTCAAATACTAAATTAAACTTAACAGAAATGAGGTGTGTTTTTTTTTGAGAAAGGAAACAGGTTGGCAGAATTTTGGCATATCAACAAAAGGAAATCACACAAAGTAAAGGATTAGTCAAAATAAAGATCAAATGAAGATCAAAAATAAATTGGCTTCAACCCAGGAAACATTTGTTGCATTTTACAAGCAGGTCTTTCCTTTCCGAGTGTGAAGAACAGAGGAACCACCTGATCTTGCCCAAAGGTCATCGCTGTGTACTGGTGATGAAACACTCCGGAGCCGGAGCCAGCCCAACACAGGACTACCCCTTTTAGGGGCAGTCCTGAAAGGACAAGAAAGCCTCCTGGTCCTGACACCAGACACTACACAAAGGCGTTGAATATCGGTGAGCAGATTCTGAGAAAGTGATGTACCCAGTATTTGTACTTCTGAAATACACAGTGCTGCTTCAACAAAATGAATAAACAATACCTAGCTCCCTATCTCTCCCTCTCTATCATCTTTGAATAGAGTAGGCATTCTCGAAGATACTGAACTTTTTTCACACTTCAGAGGATCTTGTTTGATGTATCATTATGACCAACACCATCTATTCTGGGGGGACTAGCACAGAATGAAAACGTAGAGACCCTTGTTTAAAAAGCAGGAACAAATGCAGTTAAAACCATCTATGAGGCTTTTTCTTTTCTTTTGGGGTCACCCCACTTATGCTGTTGTTTTTTTTTTTGAAAATTTCCCATGTAACATGATTTTTAAAAAATCTTTAAAAAATTATAATGTTGTTCAAGTACAGTTGTCTCCATTTCCCCCTTGCCTGTCCCCAACTCTCCCCATGGTCTTACCCCTCTTTTGGCTTCTCTATGTGTCCTTTAAACATGTTCCTTAACTTCCCTTCCCCTTTTTTGGCTTGTGATTTTTAAGACAATAAAAACTAAAAATTGAAGTTATTAGCATGAAATCTTACCACTTATCTTGATTTTGTGCACAGCCAGTCTAAGAGCATTGAGTTGCAGGTAGGATGACTGAAATTGCACACTAGTATTTTGTAGTTAACATGTATGCTTTTCATTCTTACCACAACAGTGGAAATGTTCCACAGAATTAACTCAGTTGTTTTTATTTCACTTCAAAGTATGGCCCCCTCCTACAAACAGTCTATATCTTCAGCTGAGGAAGGTCGGGCTGAAAGGAAAAGGGACACCTTGGGGTCACACTCTCCTTCCGGAGCACAGAAGATTTACAACAGACTTGCTGGAGGGGGTGACATCCGAAGACAGTAGGAGTAAACTATAGACAGGAGAATTTCAGGACAATACCATTCCGGTAAAGAGGCGATTACTAGATGAGATTAAATAAACTTGAACACAATTGATAGTTTTATTTTTGGCTTAGTTTTTTTTTTCTTGTTCTCGTATCTTTTGGATTCCCTGTAATCAAATGACACATTTTGTAAATGAGGCGTTCGTATTCATCATGAGAATTAGATTGCTGTCAGTGTCATTCAGAAACTTTCATCTTTAGGTCACAGATTATAAATCCAATCTTGACTAAGCCATTCAGACAAATATTCAAGATGTGTTGGCAGTTCGAATATCTTTTCTAGAATTATGTCTAAAATGAAATTGTACTAAGAATGCTAAATCTTGGGTTCCACAAAGGAGCTAAAAATGGAATGGTGCTTGAAATTGAAACATTATTTAAATCTGATTTGCGGCCTTCAGAGAAATTGAACTCTGAGACCCTTGTGATACTTAATTATTCGGCCTGTTTAAGGAGTGGAGGCTCCAAGTTTAAGAAACTATTAACTTTTGTGTTTATTGTACTTATCTTTAGGTGAAGAAACACAACTATGATTTTAATATACCCTTAAAAGAGTGTTATATATTAATTTATAAGGTTGAAATGCATTTACTCTTAAGTTGTTCATTATTTGGAAAATAAACTCACTTGGGACCAAAATTACTTATACACACATGCATTCACTTCACTGGTGTTTGTGAGTAAATAAATATAGAGACATATCTATTTGAGGAGCTATTATACCAGAATGTTGAAGTTAGATGAGTGTGAGCAGGAAGGGAAAAACATTCCCAGGGCATATGCTGCAGTATCTCTTCGATTTGGTAGCCTTGGACAGCTGGGACATGCAACTGCAGCTGGACATGATGGGCCCAGAATGAAGCAGTGAAGCCTGCAGCCATCTCTTCGGGAAAAGTCTGTGTAGAACCTGAAGAACTAACGGCCTGTATATTTTTATTGGAGGCATAAGCCCAAGAGCCAGTGTAGAAAACACAGGTTTTTTTCAAACAACTCAGTATAGTTAAATAGATCATTTAGAAAAATCAAAATGAAAAAGGAAAGAGGAAAATAGAGGCTGGTTAGCCAGTTCTGTAGAGCAGAGTGTCAAACTTATGTTCACCAGGGGCCACATCAGCCTTGCAGTTGCCTTCAAAGGGCCAAACGTAACTTTAGGACTGTGTAAATGTAACTACTCCTTAACAGTTAAGTGAGAGCTCAGCACTGCCGTCGGGTGGAAACAAGGTGCCGGGCTGGATAAAACAAGGTGGAGGGCTGGATTCAGCCTGCGGGCCGTGGGCTTGCCCCCTGTGCTGTGGAGCATGTTTACAGCAGGGTGTCAGTCTGGTTGATGCTGTGCTCTCCATGGCCACAGACATTCCCCTGAATCATCCCCTCAAAGCTACGCTTCGTTAGTCATATGGAGACTCACAGAGGACAATGTGGGTTAGTTTGTGTGAATGCAACACTACTCCAGGAAAAAACAGCTCATAGCGTGTGCTCTGGTGGCCATGATTCAGAAACATTTCACACATGGGAGAAGCATTTTATAAACAACAAATGCCATATGCTTTTAGTTGTCTCTAGTGGAGGTGGCTCTCTGTCCTTTTTCAATTTCCCTTGTGACCAAGCAGCTGGTCTCAGCGCCATATAGCAGTTGCCACAACCCCTGTATTTAGTAGGTCTGTATTTAATTTTTAAACAGAAATAAGTGGCCCATTTAAATTTTTATTTATTATGTCCTAGGACTTACCTTGATTATTTGACTTTTACCACTACAAACCAGAAGAAGAAAGGCAAGTTTAATTTTGACATGCATTTTTGAACTTGACTTCTGAGACTGTTTATTTTGTGATCCTCCTTTTCTTTTTGTTAATTTCTCTGTGGGAAGGACAAGCCTTCAAAAGCAGGTGGTGAGCCTCTGCGGTCTGTTTCCTTCGACTTGCCTGGCAGTGTCTATTCATTTCTTCACAGTCTGACCCAAGTGCCATTGATAATGTCACAGGCGTGACAGAGCAAGGGAAATGTCAACCAGATTGATTTGAATCAGAAAGTCCAAGGCTGTCTTTATTTCTGGAGTTTTCACAAATTTTAGAAAGTGGCTGAAATTGAGCAAACAAACTTGCATATTATCATGAAAATAGTTTGATCATATGGATCCCTGAAAGGGTTTGGGGAAGAACACACTTTGACAACCATTGTTGCACCAAGTGATTATCTCCACACATGATCATCGCCTTGCTTGTTTTTTCACTTAACAGTGTCTCTTACAGATCTTTCCATATCAGACAGAGAATTTCCCTTTACTTGCTATTATAATAGCCTAGTATTTTCTTGTCTGGATTTATCATCATTTATTTTACCAGTTCTCCTTTGATAGACCCTTGGGTTCCTTTTGCCCCATTTACAAATTTTTTTAAGATTTTTATTTATTTATCTTTAGAGGGGAAGGTAAGGAGAGAGGGAGAGAAATATCAATATATGGTTGTCTCTTGTGCGTCCTCTGCAGGGAGTGGCCTGCAACCCAGGCATGTGCCCTGACTGGAAATCGAACCTCGATCCTCTGATTCACAGGGCTATGCTCAATCCACTGAGCTACACCAGCCAGGGCCCCATTTACAAATTTTTCTATAACACACAATGACAAGGTAAACACAGAATTTTATATCCAAGCAGGTCTATTTCTAGGAAAAAAAATGGCAGAAGTGCAATGCAGTTTGCAAGGCCAGGCCAAAGTGCCATTCGTGGAGTTTGCATTGCCTTCTCAAAATATGTGAACACGTTTTCTCCCCTAACTTGCTGTTGAGAAGTCTGCTGATTCAGTAGGGGAACAATCTTAGAGTAGTTTTACTGTGTATTTCTGTTATGAATAAAGTTAAACATCTCTTCATATGTTAGGGCCCTTTGTACTTCCTTTTCTGTGAACTGTAGGTTTTCTTTCAGGTTGTTGATCTTTTTCCTTCTCAATTTCTAGGAGTTTTTAAAAGAGCAGAGAAAGAATCTATGGACCTTGAAAGTATTGCTCCTGCTGTGAATTTCAAATGCTGTGTCTCAATTTGTCTTTTGATTTCAAATTTACTCATGGTGTCTTCTGCCATGTGGAACTTTCCCATTTTTATGTATTCAACTTTATCAGCCTTTTTTCTTATCCTTGGATTCTGTATTTTAAAACTTGGTTGAGAAAGACTTTTCTACTCTAGAGTTATTTAAAAAATGCACATATATTTTCTTCTTCTACATTTACTTTTTATTTGAGAGTTTACATTTAATCATTGGCACATTTGCAGAGTATTTTGTTAAATAGGGTCAAAGATGAATACAAATTAACATTTTTCTATTATACTGGCCCTCTCTTCACAATATCACATGTTGAAAAAGTCCTTATTTTCCTTTCTGAATTGAGAAGTGGCCTTTATCATGTAATAAATTCTTGAATATATTTAGTCTCAATAGTATATGAAAGATTAAAATCTCATAAACTAGTAGAAATACAGTCCAGCAATAAAAGAATCAATATTTTAAAATATATTTATGTAATTTATTAGGTTAAAAGATCTCACACTCACTATTCTGATATATGTTAATAGTTGGATCAAAGTGACTAAGAGACCAGACAGAGACATTTCCTGATAAATCAAGAAAATTCACTTATCTAGGAGCTGCAAAAGGAAGTCATTTTAATATCGGGATATACAGCAAGAGGCCAGCAGTATTCTCCAACAACAGAATAAGACACTGGCAGGTGTACAACTGCAGATAGTAAGTCCAAAAGAGTGAGAGTCACATGAGAACTCCTTGAAGTTCAACGAACACTCTCCAAACCCAGCCTTCTACTTTTGAAGCTGTGGCAATTCTACAGGTTAGAGTGGTATTTGTGAGGGACCATGGCATCAGTCTTAGGTGTGTTATCAGTCTTGGTGGAGCCCAATACACACTAGACTCCTTGGCCTGGTACACGAGAGTGTGGTTTATATGGTGTGTTTGTCCCCCACCAGCCTCTTTAAGATACACATCTTGTTTCAATCATTTTTCAGGACTTAATGCTGTAGAAAAGGAAAAGCATCAATTATAAACTTCTTCAGTGGTAATATTAACAACCTCTAAGCTGTTAAGTTGCAACCAATAAAGAGAAAATACACGTAATTCTTTCAACAAGTATAAAAACATATTTACAGGTGAACAAAAACTCATAAAGATAGAAATCTTAATAAAGTAGACTTTGCCAAGAACCTATAGCCAACATATTTATGGTAAAATATTCCTACAAAGAAATATTCTTGTCGTGAAGGATTCCTACAAATACAAATATTTACCAAATATTTTGGTAAACTACTGCTATTCGATATGTATTGAAGGCCCTAAAAAATACACTGGGAAAACAAATTGGAAAGATAAATATTAAAAGTAAGGAAGTGAAATTACCCTTTATAGGAGACATAATTACCTATTCAGGAAATTAAAAAAAAACCAACAGATGAACTATAGTATCAAATACAAGAGTCCATTAAGGTGGTAAGATGCAAAATTAGCAAACAAAAGCAGTGTTTTATATACCAGCAATAACTGATAT